ACCTACCTACCTACCCACCTCCCTACCTACCTACCTACCCACCTACCCACCTACCTTCCCACCCACCTACCCACCTACCCACCTACCTACCCATCTACCTACGTACCTACCTGCCTACCCGCCCACCTACCTGCCTACCTACCCGCCTACCTACCTACCTACCTACCCACCTACCCACCCACCTACCCACCTACCCACCTACCTACCCACCTACCTACCTACCTAATCTCGTCAATCTGTATCTTTTACCTATCCGTATCTTTCTCTCTCCATCCCCCCCTCTCCTTCCCTCCCTTCCTGCCTTCCTCCTGCTCTCCCTGGTCTGTCTCCCCCCTCCCTCACTTATTCAGCATTTGATCTCTGTTTATCTGTGTGCTGGAGGCTAGGTGCTTCCTGCCAGAGCCCAGCCCTCCCCTGTGAGGTGGGAGTCACCATCCCTGCTGAGAGGACAGTCTGGCGGGCAAAGAGAGGAGGCAGAGAGGGGGTTGGGTGCCCTGGCTCTGTGCCTGGTGATGACCCAGATGGTCCGCTGCCCCCCTTCAGCTCCACCCCTGGGTGCCTCGGGGGACCATGTGCTGATCGCTGGGTCATTACTGCTTCTTCAAAGGGCTCAGGACGTCAGTGGGCAGGGAAGTTCTGCACGTCCCGGCCCACTCCTCAGTGCCTGGTGGCACAGTCCGCCCCCACCGTCCAGGCCCCAGGCGCCCCCTGCCCTAGCCGACCTGGGTCCCGGAGGCTGAGTGTGCCCCTTCTTTCTTCTCTCCAGCGGTGCCTGGAAGTGCTGTGCCTGTCCGGGGCGCAAGGGGACCCCGTGCTGAACTTGGGGCCATCGGGGCTGGGCAGTGGCCAGCAGGCCTCAACAACATCTGCAGTCTGAGGCCCCTGCTGCAGACCTCCTGGGAGGACGCTGAGCCTGGACCATGACCCAGGCCTGTCCCACGTCCTCACAGACCCCTAGCCGAGCCCACATTCCCAAAGTGCTTCTCGGGGGGCCACCCGTCTCTTTGAGATTTGGGGTCCTGCAGGCCAGGCTCAGTCCTGGCTCACCCTGTAGTGTCCCTCACGTGCAGAGCCTGGCAACGCCCCGCAGTGGACTCACTGTCCACTTTGCAGACCTGAGAGCCAGTGGCCGCCTCTAGGGGCTCCTGGTCCCAATGATGCTGGATGAGTGCGTGAGGGCCTGATTGTTCACAGACCAGGAGACCCTCTGCCCCAGGGGCCGCCTGTGGCCTGCCATCACGGGGCGGGTGGGCCCTGGGCTGGCCGTGGTGTGCTGCCAAGTCTGCTTAATGGGTAGCAGGTGTGCCTCCTTGCCGAGCACCCGCTGCGCCAAAGGTATAAAGCCAGGGTCCCAGGCCAGGTGCAATGCTTGGGGGCTCTGGGAACATGGAGGGCAGGATCTTGGCGGCGCTGCTGGGGCTCTGTGTGGTGCTGGCGGCCTGCACGCAGGATGCTAAGCACCAGGAGCTGAAGCAACCCAACTTTGATCTCGCCAAGGTACTTCCCAGGCTCCTGTGGGAGGGGGTCTTGGGCAGACCACATGTGGGGTACTCTTCAGGACTTGGGCTTCCAGAACATTCCATCTCCTCCAGGAGGTGCTCACAGTATGGGTCATCCCCTCCCTGAACTTCCCAACTGGGTCTCACCCTGGTGGGTGAGGAGCTGGCCCCTGAGAGCCCCCCGAGGGGCCCCTTACCTGGATGCAGGAGCTCCTGTGGTCCTGGGGACAGCTCTCCTCCAAGCCCCCACCCCCTAGTTCTCAGGCTTCTGGTACGAGATCGGCCTGGCCTCCAAGCTGGGTCACCATTTCACTGAGAACAAGTTGAAGAAGATGGGGGCTGCGCTCGTCCAGCTGCAAGGAAAGACCCTGGCCTTGACGAGCGTTTATGATGAGTAAGTGGGGGCCCCCGCGGGCTCGCTGCCATGGGGAGGGGACCCTCTGCCCGCAGAGCTGCCTGTGGCCTGCCGTCCAGAGGTGGGGCCCTCCCAGCCCCAGGCGCCTGCGCTGTTGAGGGGTGTGGGGCGGAAACCCTTTCCAGACCACACCCAGGACTCCATTCTGTTCCCCGGCGGTCCTAGGAGCACCAGCTCTAGCCCCTCCCCAAGGTGAGTGCCCAGGAACAGCTGTGATCAGGGACAGTACAGGGGGCTGGGCCGCGGCTGGGACTCAGCCCCTGGGGCCTGGGCTTCAGCCCCGAGCTTAGGACTTTGACCAGGCAGCGAGGTGACCACTGGGGCTGCAGTTCCTTCGTCCCTAAGATGGTGGGAAGTGACAGCCCCCCACCCCGAGAGGGGTCAGGGTACAGAGCGTGGCCGGCCCGGCATCCACACTCCTTGCTTGCTGCCTACGGAGCCAGTACTTGCCTCTCGCACTTGGCCAGCCCAATTCCATCTGTGGGTCCCCTGGAAGGGGGAGCACCCTGAACCCCTCAGCGATGCCCCAATTGTGCCTCAGAGGTGGGCCCCCCTACATATGGAGGGGTGGGCCCTCCCCCCTCCCCCTTTGTCCACTCCCAGAGGGCAGCACAGGGGGCTCAGGCAGGGGTCCTGTCTCTGGAGCTGGGGTGCTGGGACCTCCTCCGTGGTCTTGCCTGAGGGCATGGAGGGGCTTGGGTGGCCCTGGTTGTCGGGTGTCTGCTGTATTCTAGTCTGAAGCGCTGTGTGAAGGAGACTGACCGGGCCTCACAGAGGGCTGTCCCCGGGACTTACACAGTGTCCAGAGGCTCAGGTGAGAAACCCTGTGCTGGGGCTCTCCCTCCTCCCCACACCGGTGCCTGGTCACTGGGCCTCCTGCTCCCTCCCCGAAGACATTCCTGCCGCCCTGGCCCCGCTGGGCTCTGCAGCTCTGCTGGGCTCCACTGGGCTCTGCGGCTCTGCTGGGCTCTGCAGCTCTGCTGGGCTCTGCTGGGCTCTGCTGGGCTCTGCGGCTCTGGAGGGAGATGACCAGGCCCTTCCTGGGCAGGACCTGGCTCGGAGGCTGCAGGCCACCTGGGTCAGAGCCCCTGGCTGCAGCTCATGAGGGGTCATGTAGGTGCCCGGGGCCCAGGACTGTGCAGTTTCCTAGCTGCCCAGGTGCTCAGGGCTGTGCAGGTGCCCAGATGCCCAGGGGCCCAGATGCCAGATGCCCAGGGGTCCAGAGCTTTGCAATTTCCCAATGCTTAGGTGCCCAGGTGCTCAGGGCCATGCAGGTGCCCAGATGCCCAGATGCCCAGGTGCTCAGGTGTACAGGCCTGTGCAGTTTCCCAAGTACTCAGGTGCCCAGGTGCTCAGGGCCATGCAGGTGCCCAGGAATCCAGTGGCTCAGGTGTCCAGGTGCCCAGGGCTGTGCAGTTTCCCAGGTGCTCAGGTGCCCAGGTGCTCAGGGCTGTGCAGTTTCCCAGGTGCTCAGGTGCCTAGGTGCTCAGGGCTGTGCAGGTACCCAGGTGCCCAGGTGCCCAGGTGCTCAGGGCTGTGCAGTTTCCCGGGTGCTCAGGTGCCCAGGTGCTCAGGGTCGTGCAGGTGCCCAGGAATCCAGGGGCCTGTGGCACCACCCCACAGCCCCAGCCTCCGGCCTCCATCTCCAAGGTTGATGTGAGGGGTGACCACTTCCTCTATGAGACTCAGGAAACATCCAGTCAGGCATCTTCTTTCCCTGTCAGAGGGGTTCCCTGTCCACCATTCTCAGGGATGCCACCTTCAGGGAGCCCAGAGGGCTTGCTCTGGCCTCTGGGTGTGTGTGTGTATTTATATGGATGCTTTTGTGTGTATGGACTTGTTAGTGTGTTTGTGTGTGTGGGCTTGTGTGTTTGTGTACCAGTGCTGTATGTACATGTGTGTGTCTGTGTGTGTGTGTGTGTGTGCATCTATGCTTGTGCATGAATGTGCAGTCTGCATGTGTGCGCACGTGTGTCCGTGTATGTTAGTGCTGTGTGTGCTTGTGCGTGTGTCCTGTGTGTGCTGTGTGTGTCTGTGTGTGCATATGTGTCTATACTTGTGAGTCCGTTTTGTGTGCCCACGTAAGTGTGTGCTGTGTGTGTTTGTGTGTGTATATGTGTGTCCTTATACTTATGTGTGTCTGTGTGTCTGTACTTGTGTGTCTGTGTGTGTGTCTGTACTTGGGTGTGTGTGTCTGCATGTGTCTGGACGTGTGTCTCTGTACTTGTATGTTTGTGTGTGTGCGTATGTGTCTCTGTACTTGTGTGTGTGCTGTGTGTGCACACCTGCTGTATGTGAGCATGCACGCGAGGTGGGAGTGTGCTCTGGGGAGGTGTCTGCAGATCCATGAGCCCGAGCCCAGAGCCTCCCTAGAGCCCTTGGCGACGGTGTGTCTTCCAGGGAGCAAAGAGATCCGCGTGCTGTTCACGGACTACAAGACCTACGCCATCATGAGCGTGACTCTCCGCAAAGGAGACGAGACCCAGAAGGTCATGAAACTCTACAGTAAGCTGAGGCCTGGGCACTGCCCGGGCTGTCTCTCCGTCCTCCACTCCCTCTGGGCCTCCTGCCCTGGCCCCCGCCTCCCTGGGTCCCCCCAGCTCTGAGAGGGGGATGGAGGGAACTCAGGGGCATTCTTGAGTGACTGTGATGACCGTGGAGGCCTGGGTCAGTCCCCGAGCTCCATCCCCGCAGACAGTCAACGGGGAGCGAGCAGTGGCCCCCACCCTAGCTGGCCGCCCAGCCCCGGCCCCCCCCCCCCGCCCTTGCAGGCCGGAACCTTCAGGACAACGAGGAGGCCATAAAGAAGTTCTGGGAGGTGGCCCTGGCCAATGGGTTCTTGCAGGAGGAGGTGTACCTCCTGGACCCTGACAGTGAGTGCCCTGCCCTGACTGCCCTGGGCCCCTGGTGCTGGGCCTGCCTTCCCGGACTCACCTCCTCTCTCCCCCACAGTGACCTGCGTGAGCTTGCTTCTCTCGGTGAGTTGCTACCCCTGGACCCTCAGTTCCGAGTCTCGGCTGCCCTGGGTGTCTGAGGGTGCTTGGCCCCTCCCCTCCCATTCATCTCATTGTGGTGGGGAGCTGAGCAGGGGTCCTGGAGTCCAGGGGCACCAAGAGAGTGTGTCTGAGCTCTCTCTGCAGCGTCAAAAATAGGAGGACACAGGCTTAGCCTTGAGGGGGACCTCACTGAGGGTAGAGCATGCCCAATGACCCCTCTGGGCTCTGCCTTTGGCCACAGCATCTGAGGGGGCCGCAAGGTTAGAACTGGGGGTGTCAGCGTTGAAGCCAAGCCCCTAGTCCTGCCTATGGTCCCCCCAGAAGAGAGAGGTGGCTCCCCTTGCCTGAGTACTTACTCGGGGCCCGCCCACAGACCCCAGGCACAGTGGGAGTCCTTCCTGAGGGTCCGGCCCCTTTGACAAGCCTCTCAGCGGCAGATTGGGGTCCCCGCCCTGTGCTCCCCCAGGGGGACATCCCTCCCCGCCAAGCTCTAGAAAGTGGCAGCCTCCTGGGCTCCTGCACAGACAAGGGTCTGGGGGATGAGCGGGGGCTCTGGCTTGTCTCAGGGGGTGGGGGGCAGGTTCTTAGGGGCAGCGGTCAGGACAGAGGAGAAGCTGCCCCACAAGTGGGCTGTGGCCCCACGGTCCAGACGTCGCCCACCGGCCGGCCATGTGACAGCACCGCCTCCCCCCACACCCCGTGACCTTGCCGGCCTCCCCGCCCCCCCTGTGTTGCAGTGAGGATGCGCACAGCCTCACGCCTGCACTGCCCAGGTGCTCTGGCCCTGCCCCCCTGCCGGCCCGGCCTCTCCCTGCCCCGCAGGGCCAGGCTCCACCGCTGCTCTCAGCTCTGAACAAACCCCAGCCAACCCTGAATAAACCCCTGCTGCCAGCCCACTGCCTGTGTGTCTTTCCAGGGGCTGACAGAGGGCGCACAGATGGGCAACAAGGAGTGCGTTTTCTGTCTCCCGGGGCGGCCGTAACAGAATGCCACAGGTGGGGGCTTTAAAGAGCA